GTATTAACCATAGTCACAATTAATACACATCTGAGGCCGGGCATGGTGGCTCACACCTGTAATCCCAGTACTTTGGGATACCAAGGTGGGCAGATCACTTGAGGTCAGGAGTTTGAGAACAGCCTGGACAACATGGTGAAACCCCATTTAAAAAAATATATATATAGGCCGGGCAAGTTGGCTCATGCCTGTAATCCCAGCACTTTGGGAGGCCAAGGCAGGTGGATCATGAGGTCAGGAGTTCAAGACCAGCCTGACCAACATGGTGAAACCTTGTCTCTAAAATAAATAAAATAATAAAATACACATCTGGTGCTCATGGAGAGCAATGCACACCTCTGTGCTAAGCCCTTTCTCTATATCATCTCAACTGATCTTCACTGCAGCCTCATGAGGTACATACTAGTACTGCACTATCTAGTACAGTAGCCACTAGCTACATATGGCTATTGAGCACTCAAGATATGGCTAGTTCAAATTGAAATATGCTACGAATATAAAATGCACCCTGGATTTTGCAGACTTAGTATGGGAAAAAAATATCAGTAATTTTCATATTGATTATATGTTGAAAATATAACATTTTCATATTTGTAGTTAGATAAAATATACCAGGATTTTTTTTTTAACCGCTTTTAACTTGGCTACTAACACATCTAAAATTTCATATGTAGTTCACATAATGTTTATACAGGACAGGACCATCCTAGACTCCCTGTTTTAGAGTTAAGGAAACCAAGTTCAAAGACTTGTCTGAAATTAAGTTTGAGGTTATTTGAATCCAGATCTATCTGATACCAAGCATGGGCACTTCACTGCCGCTCTCTCTAGAATCTAAACTTTCTGATGGGCAGAGATAATAATTAAAAGGATTGCCCTTGGGAAGAAAGGGAGGAAGGAGAAAAGAAGTGAGGGAGGAAATGGCACTAATGAGAATGTTCCCTCTGACCACTCCTCTTGCCCCTCAGGAGTCCCTGTCCCCAGGGGAGCCGCTGGTTCTGTCCACCGGAGACCTACAGCTCCTGCACTTCTACGCTGGGCAATGCCAGAGCCACTACTCGGCCCTGCAGGTGGCCGTGGCAGCCCTGATGTCCAATACCCAGGCTAATCAGCCCCCGCGCCTCTTCGTGCCCCACAGCAAGAGGGTGGTGGTGGCTGCTCACCGCCTGGTGTTTGTTGGGGACACCCTGGGCCGGCTGGCAGCCTCTGCCCCTCTCCGAGCACAGGTCAGGGCTGCAGGTACAGTGCTGGGCCAGGCATTGCGTGCCACTGTGCTGGCTGTCAAGGGAGCTGCCCTGGGCTACCCATCCAGCCCTGCAATCCAAGAGATGGTGCAGTGTGTAAAAGAACTGGCAGGGCAGGCCCTGCGATTCACCACCCTGCTCACCAGCCTGGCTCCCTGAAGGTCCTTTGGCACAGCTCTGCCCCTCCCCTGCCTGCCAAAGCCCCCCTCTGGCCTTAGGTGGCTGGAGGACTTTGTTAAGGGACTAGGAGAGGTGGAGGTATCTTTCCCCTCTCCTGCCCTTTCTGTCATCTCAGCCTCTCACAGAGGTGTCTTATCCCCCAACCCACAGCTTTTTGTATGAGCCATTTTGTATAAATTATTTATATTTAATATTATTCCCTGCTTTGTCAGGAGCAGGTACTAGGCTCTGGGGCAGGGAGGAACTGGACCCTTCTCTCCTCAGCCTAGGGTGGAAGTCACTGCACTGCCACCCACCTCTGGAAGACTGGCTATGAAGAGTCAGGTGGCAAAAACCTGGGGCCATACAGAGCCTCTTTCTTTTTCTGTTCTTGGCACTAGAAGATCAGTGCTGCACTATTAGCTGAGAGGGCAAGACATAAACTGCCCAGAGATTGAAGGTCTCGGAGAGACCAGAGGGCTTCTCCCCACAGAAGGCAGGAGAGAGCTGGGACCCAGACATGGGTGTGTACCTCAATAAACCCTGCTGTCTGCCTCCCTGACTCTGCCTCTTGGGAGCATGGTGAGCAACCCTGGTGCTCAGCAGCCATACCTGTTGAACACACACTGAACAGGATGCCTTTCGGGGTTTGGGAGAGATTTTACTCCTTTCTTCAACAACTATTAACTGGACAAGTTCTTCACTCTCACAATGCGCCAGGCATAGTTCTGCAAGTATATTGTGAATGTATCATTCCAGTGGGATACACAAATAAGTCAGTTAACATATATAAATAAAAACACAAACCTGCCACAGATTTGCCATTTGCTGGTGAAGGAAATCAGCAGGGTGACATGAAGAAACTAAGTAGATGAGTGGAGAGGCCAGTGCAGGAGACTTTAGACAGGATGGTTGAAAGGTGAGATCTGAACTGAAACCCAAAGGAGGAGAGTCTGAGGACCAGTGTCACCAGAAGGCAGACCCCGATGACTGACCTGAGGGCCTTCCTTCAAGACTTCATTGTCAAATGATGTTATTCGAGAGATGTCAATGTGGAGAGAAACTGGCCACACAAGGGCCTTGAAATGTGCTGTCCTGGAGAGGCCACCCCAACTAAAGGCCCAGCCTCAGCTTTGCACCACAGGTTAGCTCTGGCCAACTAGAGACTACTGCTGGCCAGTCTGGACACCCTCTTCCTTCAGTTACCCCAAGAGGGTCTAGGCTCTTTCACTCGGCTTCCCAGGTAGATATCGCAGGATGACCTACTCATCATCCTTCTGGACAAACCATTTTCTGGAGGATCTGCATGGCACGGAGCTCGCACCTGTAATCCCAGCACTTTGGGAGGCTGAGGCTGGAGCATTGCTTGAACTCAAGAGTATGAGACCAGCCTTGGCAACACAGTGAGACCATGTCTTAACAAAATATCAAAAAATTAGCCAAGTGTGGTGGCATGTGCATGTAGTCCCAGCTACTCAGGAGGCTGAGGTAGGAGGATCACTTGAGCCAGGGAGGTGGAGACTGCAATGAGCTGTGATCAAGCCACTGTCCTCCAGCCTGGACAAAAGAGCAAGACCCTGTCTCAAAAAAAGAATTTCCCATATATGGAAAATTTCTGAACAGAGGAGATAAGTTAAAGGTGTGGTTCAGTGGAGAGAAGGAATGATTTTCTGGCTGACTACTATAGAACACTCCTTTCCAGCCCTTATCTAGGATTAGAGAATGAAGCACCTATCAGGTAACATCTCTTAGAGAAGTGTGTCTCTTCCTTTAATGTATTATACCTATACCTGGGGATCTGGTTAAAATACAGATTAGGATTCAAGGGTCTGGGATTCTGCATTTCTAATGAGCTCCCAGGTATGCTGCTAGTCCATGAACCACACTTTGAATAGCAATTTTAGAGGTTAGGGAAGGCTTCTCTGTAGCAAAGATGCTTGAGCTGAGAGCTGAAGGATGAGGGAAATGTGACTAAGAAGCTTTTTAGGTGCAGGAACCAGCTTGTTCAAAGGCGTTGTGGCACTGGGAAAACTAGAGGAAGGTCTGTGGCTGGAGTGCAGTTTGGGGAAAGAAGTGAGAAGGAACTATAGAGCACATGTGACCAGGCATGCAGAATCATGTATGAGGAATCTAGAGTTTTAATATTCACCTTGACAGTGAGGAGACACCATCGAAGGCTGGTTAGCAGGAACGGCACAGGATCAGATCTGCATTTTGAAAAGATCATTCCATCTGCTCTATGAATGATGTATGGGTGGCAGGGAGGTATAAACAAAGTGGAAGCAGAATGTCAGCTAGGAATTAGGGGGCCAAAGTGATCTTTCCAACAGGTAGTTTGACCAATACTGGTAGAGATGGAGAGATGTGGGATATCTGAGAATATATAGGAGGTAAAATGGACAGAATTTTGTAAATGATTCAACATGGGTAAGGAAGAAAAAGCTTTCAAGATGTTGCCTGAGCATCTGGAAGCAATGCAATGTTGAGGGCGCCTCTGCAATTCACTGCAGAAAAAAGCAGTGGAAGACAACCAAGTTATAGGGGGAAATCATGAGTTTGGTCTTGAACATACTGAGTTGGAGGTCCCTGTGAGTCATGCAAGGTGAAGGTCAGATAAGAGGTAGGTCTTGAGCTCAGAACAGAGGTGGAAGCTGGAGTTGTCAGTTTGGGCATCAGGTTTGTATTGTTTGTATGGGTGGTGATTGAAGCTGTGGGCATGGGTGAGATCCCAAGGTGGAGAGTGTGGAGAGAAGGGCCTAGGGATAAGTCTCTGAGGCTTCCAGACACTGAACGATGGTGTCTAAATGATACAGACAGGAATGGCCCTAGAAGCCAACACCACCAGCCTTGTCACTACCAATAACAGACCCTTCCTGCAGTTGCTTCACCCCACTGAACTTCAACCACTGCCTCAAGAACTGGGACTATAAGGGCCTGCCCATGCTGAGCACCAATGCCATGACCTGGAAGATGGTTTCTGCAGTGGAGAAAAGGGGAGCAGAAGGGACTTAGCAGCCAAGGAAGACAGTGTTTAGAGGAAGAGGGGGTCAACAGTGCTAAATGCTGTTGAGAAATGGAGATTCAACCAGGCTGGGAGTGGTGAAACCCAGGGAAGTGATCTCCCTGTAGAGGACTGAAGCTAGCTAGGGCTGAATACAGGGCCAAGCCAGTCTTCCATATACATAAGTTGGACTGCAGTAGCCAGCATACATGTCTGTCTTCCTGGAGTCATGGTCTCCAAGGTGGACCTTATCCACCCTATTATCCCTAAAGTCAAGTGCAAGTCCTAAAACATAGTAGACACTTAAATTTTACTGATTAGTGAATGAGTGGATGAACGAATGAATGAGTGATGGCAAATGATTGGAAGCAGAGGAAGAATCTCTAGCATCTGCCTGGACTAGCTACTATGCTTCAGCTTTTTTTCCTTATTACCGCAACGGCCAGCAGACCCAGGAAAGAGACGACAGAGTCCCCTTCCCCTCCCTCCCCTGGGCCCTGGCCCCCCTTCCTCTCTGTGACGAAGAGTCTGGACCGATGGTTCTGCTGACGTGGGAAGGGGAGGAGAGTCTAGAGGAAGGGGAGGGGAAAGCAGCGCAGAGCTCGCAGAGACCCGAGGAGGCGCCCGCGGCTGCAGAGCTGCAGAACGGGATCTCTTCAGGCTCTCTGTGTCCGGGCAGCCGGTGCGCAACTGGGCCAGAGGACAGCGCATCCTTTCGGGGCAGGCCGGCAGGGCCCCTGCGGTCGGCAAGCTGGCTCCCCGGGTGGCCACCGGGACCCCAGAGCCCAATGGCGGGGGCGGCAGCAAAATCGACAACACTGTAGAGATCACCCCCACCTCTAACGGAGTAAGTGCCCGCGCCCCAGGTGGCGACGCCATCCTCTCCCCGCACCCCCGCCCCTGCTGAGTGCCTGGCATTTTCCTCCTGCGCCTCCCGTGCCCCTGACTGCCTGCCTAGCCCTCGCTCCCGCCTGCCCCTGCCCTAGCTCTGTGGTTTCCTCCGCTTCACCCTTCTCCTGCCACCCCCTGCCCCCCAACAGCAGGTCGGGACCCTCGGAGATGCGGTGCCCACGGAGCAGCTGCAGGGTGAGCGGGAGCGCGAGCGGGAGGGGGAGGGCAACGCGGGCGGCGACGGACTGGGCAGCAGCCTGTCGCTGGCCGTGCCCCCCGGCCCCCTCAGCTTTGAGGCGCTGCTCGCCCAGGTGGGGGCGCTGGGCGGCGGCCAGCAGCTGCAGCTCGGCCTCTGCTGCCTGCCGGTGCTCTTCGTGGCACTGGGCATGGCCTCGGACCCCATCTTCACGCTGGCGCCCCCGCTGCATTGCCACTACGGGGTCTTCCCCCCCAATGCCTCTGGCTGGGAGCAGCCCCCCAATGCCAGCGGCGTCAGCGTCGCCAGCACGGCCCTAGCAGCCAGCGCCGCCAGCCGTGTCGCCACCAGTACCGACCCCTCGTGCAGTGGCTTCGCACCGCCGGACTTCAACCATTGCCTCAAGGATTGGGACTATAATGGCCTGCCGGTGCTCACCACCAACGCCATCGGCCAGGTGAGGCGGCCAGGCGGGCCGCGGGTCTGGGGGCGGGCAGAGAGCGGCGAGGGCAGGGCCTCACGCCCGCTGCACCCTTCTCACATCCCCAGTGGGATCTGGTGTGTGACCTGGGCTGGCAGGTGATCCTGGAGCAGATCCTCTTCATCTTGGGCTTTGCCTCCGGCTACCTGTTCCTGGGTTACCCCGCAGACAGGTGAGGGCTGTCGTGGGGGCAGGGCTGGTAGAAAGGAGGGGGTGCTAGGGAAGCTAGCCCAAGCAGCGGGCATTTGCAAGAGGTTAAAGACGATTCAGTGGACTCTACAGTCTTCTCCAGAATTCTATTCAATGGTCTACCCTTGTCTCAACTTCACTCCTCATCAAGAAATACACCTTCCCTACCTCTTAAGTGCAAGGGAATGACTCGACCTCCATGGACTATTAGCCCCTTTTCCACTGATTAGTGGCCCCCGATCCGTGAAGCAATGGCCTCATCTCCCCAGAGAATAGTCTCATCCCCACTAATAGCCCACATGGACTGTCAGCTCCATCTCAGTGACCTCATTCCTGAAGATCAATATGTTAATTCCTAAACACCAACAGCTCCATTCCCACTGACCAGCAGTTCAACTTCACGAACAAATTACCCCATTTCTGACCAGGGGCCCCTCCCCTACAAGTCAATAACTATCTCCAAAGAAAATACCCTCCAACTCAATAACCCACAGTCCCATGCCTGCCACAAAATGACCTCACCTTCTGTGGGTGAATAATAGTCCCATCCTCATGGATCCTCAGGGATTTGAGATTCTCTCACAAAATCCTCATTTCCATGAGTCAGTAGCTTCACCTGCAGAGATCAACTGCCCAATCCTAACAACCAATAACTCTTCCCACAGATCAAAAAATCTCTTCTCTGATTCTGGTCGCCGTCACCACTGACTAGGTGCTCTCACTCCACTGAGCATCCTCATGGAGGATTAGACTCAGCCCCATTGGTCCACAGTCCCATCCAAGTGGATTTATAGCTCAACATCTATGGATCAAAGGCATCCCAACACTCAGTAGTTCATTCCTTAAAATCAATACCCATTTTCACTGCCTAATAGTCACACACCTCTGTGGGCCAATGATCCTAAACCCACAGGTCAATAGCCCATCCCTATGTATCTCAATGGCCTCATTGCCACAGACCAGTAGCCTCATTCCTAGGGAACAATGGTTTTATCCCCAAAGATCAATAATTTGGTCTCCTAAAATCAGTAGTCTTCAGCACATTAGCCAATAAGTCCATCCTAATGGAAAAATGCCCCACGCCATTAGGTCAATAGCCTAACTCCCAGGGATTGGTGCCTGATTTCCAATGACCACAGGCTCCCTATCTTCATCTCCATAGATCAGTGGTCTTACCCCCAAAGATCAATAGCCCGACCTCCAAGGATCAGTAACCATGTCTTCACTAACTCATAGTTAGTGACCATCATCACTTACCAATAGTGTCATCTCTCCTGGTCTGTGTCCTTATCCTTACTGATTATTCCCATGGATTAATAGATTCTTCCTACTGATCAATAGTCTTACCCCACGGATTAACAGACCCATGACCATGTCCCCACTGCCCACTGACCTTTCTCCTTTTCTTCTTCTTTTTTTTTTTTTTTTGAGATGGAGTCTCGCTCTGTCACCCAGGCTGGAGTGCAGTGGTGCAGTCTCTGCTCACTGCAACATCCACCTCCCGAGTTCAAGTGATTCTCCTGCCTCAGCTTCCCAAGTAGCTGGGACTACAGGTGTGTGCCACCACACCCGGCTCATTTTTATATTTTTAGTAGATACCAGGTTTCACCATGTTGGCCAGGCTGGTCTCAAACTCCTGACTTTAGGTGATCTGCCTTCCTTGGCCTCCCAAACTGCTGGAATTACAAGCTTGAGCCACCACACTTGGCCCCTACTCACCATTCTTAATGTATTAATAGACCAGTATCCCACCTCCATGGAACAATGGTCTCATCTCCAAAAATCAATTACTCCGTCTCCTAATATCATTAGCTTTACCTTCACTGACCAGTAGTATCCCCATGCATAAGTGGCCAATAGCTCCCCTCCACAGGTTAATAGTTCCAACTCCATATATCAATGACCCTCCCCCAAATCTCCTCTGAACAGTCTGAGCAAGACAAACTCCATCCCTACTGACCCTTAGCTCTATTCCTAAGGATGAATGATCCCAAATCTCCTACGCAATATACCATCCCCTCTGATGAGTGATCTCACATCCATTGACAAGTGCCCTAATCTCTGAACAATAGTCCTCATCTGCAAAAGTCAGTGTTCCCACCTCTTACAGAACCACAGCCACATCCATGGTCCCTATCCTGTCCCATCTTCTCAAGCCTCTGTCCAGCTCTTGCTCCCAGATCTTCATTCTCAAACCTCTAGCTCTGAAGTATGCAACTGGGTCTCACCCAGCAACCTCCCCACCACCAGAGAGTCTGGGTGACCAGAAGCCCTTCCCACTTTCTAGGTTTGGCCGTCGTGGGATTGTGTTGCTGACCTTGGGGCTGGTGGGTCCCTGTGGAGTAGGAGGGGCTGCTGCAGGCTCCTCCACAGGCGTGATGGCACTCCGATTCCTCCTCGGCTTTCTGCTTGCCGGTGTTGACCTGGGTGTCTACCTGATGCGTAAGTGACGCCCTCCCAGAATTCCCTCCCTTGGGTCTCATGCCAACCTGCCTGCATCCCCAGGCTGTCCCCACTGCCCCCTAGGCCACATTTCAACTGCCTAGAATCTCAGCTATCTTTCTGCCCAGGCCCTTGAAGAATCCAGGGCTCTTGCTTCTCTCCACACCTGTCTCCCCCTCCCCACAATCTTTAAAGTCTTTGCCCCAGACTTACTGCTCCCAGGGAACAAGATGCTATTCCCTAGCAGCAATAAGTCCACGGACAAGGATTGTCCCTAGCTGTGCGACCTTGGACAAAGGTTGATGTGAAGGTCAAATAAGAGGCCTGATGTGAAAGGGCCTATAAACTGGAAATGCTGAACACTCACCAGGGACTCTGGCCCTAGAGCCCTCCTAGGTTTGAGCAGGAGAGGAGAGAGGACTGAACAGTCTCTCCAATCCATGTCACCCAGAGGTTAGCAAGGGAGGCGAGGGCTGCAGCTTCCGCTCTGGGTCTGACCTCGCTCTCTGTCCTCCTCCCTCCCTCTCTCCTCTTCTCTCTCGTACCCTCTTCCTCCCTGGCTTCTCTCTCCTCTCTCCACCCCTGCTGTATCTCCAGGCCTGGAGCTGTGCGACCCAACCCAGAGGCTTCGGGTGGCCCTGGCAGGGGAGTTGGTGGGGGTGGGAGGGCACTTCCTGTTCCTGGGCCTGGCCCTTGTCTCTAAGGACTGGCGATTCCTGCAGCGAATGATCACCGCTCCCTGCATCCTCTTCCTGTTTTATGGGTCAGTATTGCCCTTCACCTGTCATCTGGCAATTCCCATCTCTGCCTCGAAACTAGCCCTAGCCCAAAGACCCCTCCTCTTCTCTGACCACCCCTGGTCCAGGCCTACCCCAGCCCCAGTCCCTCAGAGGTGGGTGTTTCCCACCCCTAGATCAGGAGAGGGGAGGCCTCACAGTGTACCCCTTCTACCCTGCCCACAGCTGGCCTGGTCTGTTCCTGGAGTCCGCACGGTGGCTGATAGTGAAGCGGCAGATTGAAGAGGCTCAGTCTGTGCTGAGGATCCTGGCTGAGCGAAACCGGCCCCATGGGCAGATGCTGGGGGAGGAGGCCCAGGAGGCCCTGCAGGGTAAGAGATGGGGTCCCTGCGAGTGTTGCCCCACTTGCACACATGACAGTGCCCTCTGAATGGCTGGACTCCCCCAGAGTCCGTACCACCCATGTGGGAGGATCCTGGGTTCTCAGGGTTTTCTTCTGACAGCTCCTCTCTCTCTCCCAAAGACCTGGAGAATACCTGCCCTCTCCCTGCAACATCCTCCTTTTCCTTCGCTTCCCTCCTCAACTACCGCAACATCTGGAAAAATCTACTTATCCTGGGCTTCACCAAGTGAGCCTGGGTGTCTGGGCTGAGGGCCTGGCCAGTAACTGGAATGGGGGTTGGCTGGGTGGGAAGGACCCCTGCAGAGGACCATTGGCATGGTGGAAGGCTGCAGGAGGGGATTCAGACTCTGTTCTTTTCTTCCCCACCCCTTCTCACAGCTTCATTGCCCATGCCATTCGCCACTGCTACCAGCCTGTGGGAGGAGGAGGGAGCCCATCGGACTTCTACCTGTGCTCTCTGCTGGCCAGTGGCACTGCAGCCCTGGCCTGTGTCTTCCTGGGGGTCACCGTGGACCGATTTGGCCGCCGGGGCATCCTTCTTCTCTCCATGACCCTGACCGGCATTGCTTCCCTGGTCCTGCTGGGCCTGTGGGATTGTGAGCATCCTACCTTCCCCACAGTGTGGGCTCAACAAGGGAAACCCAACAGAGGTGCTTCAGACAGGCTCAGCCATTTCTTCTGGCACAGGCCTCCCAGGACAAGCCCCAGACCCTGCCCAGCTCTTCCACAAGCCTCTACCTGGCCACACGCCCTGTCTGCTCTCCCAGTCAATTACTGAATGCCCAGAGTCTGCCTAGCTAGAGCCATGGGAACAGAGAGCCAAGGGGATGACACCGGGGACTAGGCCAGCCTTGGCCTCCACACCTTCGTTCATATCATCCCTCTTGCTTCTTCAGATCTGAATGAGGCCGCCGTCACCACTTTCTCTGTCCTTGGGCTCTTCTCCTCCCAAGCTGCCGCCATCCTCAGCACCCTCCTTGCTGCTGAAGTCATCCCCACCACTGTTCGGTGAGATAAGGGGTGCTCCTGGGGGCAGAGCCAGGTCCTTCTGCCTGAGGATGGTGCCTGCAGGCTGGAGGAGGGATCTGCGGGAAAAGGGTGGGCAAGGCCACATCTGTGGGCTGAGCTCCACCCCTCTGTTTCCCCTAGGGGACGAGGTCTAGGCCTGATCATGGCACTGGGGGCTCTTGGGGGGCTGAGCGGCCCGGCCCAGCGCCTCCACATGGGCCATGGAGCCTTCCTGCAGCACGTGGTACTGGCGGCCTGCGCCCTCCTCTGCATTCTCAGCATTATGCTGCTGCCAGAGACCAAGCGCAAGCTCCTGCCCGAGGTCCTCCGGGATGGGGAGCTGTGTCGCCGGCCTTCCCTGCTGCGGCAGCCACCCCCTAACCGCTGTGACCATGTCCCACTGCTTGCCACCCCCAACCCTGCCCTCTGAGCAGCCTCTAGGTACCCTGATGGGAGGCTGGCCCACACAGAAAGGTGGCAAGAAAATTGAGAAGACCGAGTAGGGAAGGGAGGGCTGCCCAGAAGGCTCAGAGGCACCTCACACCAGCCATCACGGAGCCGCCCCCACCCCGCCTCCTCCCTGCTGCTTTGCGTTCACTTCCCTGGCCAGAGTCAGGGGACAGGGAGAGAGCACCGCACTGTAACCACTGGGTCTGGGCTCCATCCTGCGCCCAAAGACATCCTCCCAGACCTCATTCTTTCTTGCTCTGTCATTCTGTTTCAATAAAGACATTTGGAATAAATGAGCATATCATAGCCTGGACTTCCCTCCCTCCTGTTTGTCCTTCTATTTCCTGGGGAAGGTTTTTCTCAGTGGAATGCACACCAGTAACAATCTCCCCTCTCCCTCCCTGTGCCCTGCCTCAAGTGGTGGCTGACAGACAGCTGTCACCACTGATTGGCAGGTTGCACTGCTGTCAGGACTGACTGAGCTAGGCACTTGACACACTTGGTATCATTTAATTTTTACAGCATTGCAAGGTAGGTGTTTGGATCAATTAGGGGTTTTTATTGTTGTTGTTGTAAGCAATAAAAACTGGCTCTAATGAACTTAAATAGAAAATGTATTATTAGATTTGGTGGGGCACGTTGTGGAGGGAGCTCACAGAATGAAGGAGAAGCAGAAGTAGTCATATAAGATGAGGAATAGAGAGGACGCCTTGTCTGAGGTGCGGGAACTAGCCAGATTTTTGTCAGGGTGTCTAGATGAATGAGCTCCAGTGGGATTTAATCTTTGGGTTATCTCACTGAAGATTCATTTCCAGAGAGCATGTCACTGGCTAGCTTGAATAACATGCTTCCCACACCCCTATTTCTCCCAACTGGGAATAGGGAAAGCAAAATGTGGTCACTGTCAGCAGAAATGGGACTGGGTATTTCTCAGAAAAAAAAAAAAAGGAAACTCAATACAGCCTATCACTCTCTTAAACAGGTAAGAAAACTATGGATAGAGAGACTCAGTAAGTTGCCCAAGGTTATAAAGTTAATGAGTGACAAAGCTGAGATATGAATAGATCCCAGAGCTAGAGCTCTTCATGGATGCATGCTGTAGTCACCTGCCCAACTCTTCTAACTTTCAGGCATGTTCCTTGGAAGGCAAGAGTGGGTTCTCTTGGCTCTCTGGAATGTGGCAGCAGAAAACTGAGACTTCTACCTCAATGCCAGGGCCTGCCTCTTAAACCACACTGGACCTGGCTTTACCCCTTTGGGCAAATTTCTTAGCTTCCAACTTCCTTTAAGAGTTGCTATGAGGATTAAACAAGATAATGTGTATCCTAAGTGTCTCTTAAACCCCACTAGGTGTAAGCTGTGCAAACCAGAAAGTATCTGGGATAAGTTTCAATCAATTTACTAAGTTTATTTTACCAAGGTTCAGGATATACCCACAACACAGTCTCAGGAGGTCCTGAGGACACAGCTTGCTTTTATATGTTTTAAGGAGACAATATGCATCAATCAGAACATGTAGGATTTACAGTGGTTGGATCTAGAGGGCAGGACAACTCAAAGGCGGGGCCAGGGCCTTCCAGGCCACAGTTAAATTTAAACATATTCTGATTGGCAATTGGTTGAAATAGAAATCATCAGCAGAAAGGAATGTTTGGGTTAAGATAAGGGGTTTTGGAGACCTAGGTTTTATCATGAAGATGAAGGCTTCAGAGAAAATAGATTGTAAATGTTTCTTATCAGACTTAAGGTTTGTGTTGATGTCTATGCTGGAGGGATATAATGAGGATTCTCATCATGACCTCCACCAGCCTTTCAGGTTAAATTGTAGAGTGCCCTGGCCAAGGAGGGAGTCTGTTCAGATGGCTGCAGGGTGGATGGTGAGGCCTTTTTTTTTTTTTTTTTAATTTTTTTATTTTTTAAAGACGGGGTTTCACCATGTTGCCCAGGCTGGTCTTGAACTCCCGACCTCAGGTGATCCACCTGCCTTGGCCTCCAAAGTGCTTGGATTACACGTGTGAGCCACCACACCCAGCCGAGGCCTTTGACTTTTATTTTTAGTTTACATTCTCCCCCTTCTGGCCAAGATTTGCCAGAAAGAACATCAATGGCCACCAAATTTTAATTTTGTTCCATAGCATTGCCTGGGTGACATGGCTGCCTGCCCCACATTCATCCTGTCCCTCAGTGGGACTCCATGTGGCTTACAGTCAACAAGACTTACAGCCAATTAATTGCTCTAGGCCAGACAGGAATGGACATGGACAGACATTCACTGCCCCTTAAAATTATTTTTTTCTTTTAAGTAGAAAGTAAACAAAAAGCCAAAGGTGAGCTTACAAAATCAACTCATTTTTAAACTTCTATGCATTGAGCTACTATAATCTTGGATTTAGTTAAAGACTTATAGCAATTAGCTATACAAAACATAAGCATTGTTCAAAAAAATTTTTAATATATATCTATCTGCACAACTTATAACGGGAGTATTATACCCTGGAGGCTGGGTGAGTCACAAGGTATTTTATACTATTATCCTCTCAATAACTATTTTATTTTAATTCTACAGGAAGCAGGAAATTCTTTTTTTTTTTTTCTCCTGAGACAGAGTCTCACTCTGTTGCCCAGGCTGGCATGCAGTGGCACTAACTGAGTGCAGTGTATCTAACTGGGGGATGCTTTCCTTATTAATACCATAAAACTGAAGGCACGTAAATCTGCTCTTTTTAGACATAGTTTTGCTCCTTGCCCAGGCTGGAATGCAATGGCATGATCTCGGTTCACTGCAACCTTGCAACCTCCTCCTCCCAAACAACATCAGTTTTCATAAGACACTTAGGTAAAGGAGTTACAACTACCTTACATAAAGCCTGTTTATGTGAACATCTCAAATTTCATAATCCTATCAACCAGTACATTTTTCTGTTCTGGTCCCAAGAACTTTTCTTTTCTACCCCCTGATCCTTTTACCTTTTCTGGTGGAAAAAAGGCTTGGGTTCCCAGCAGGGAGTTAAGCCAAGGGACTCAGGCTCTTCTGCCAATTTTTTACCCTAATTTGCCCCAGCATTGCCCCAGGCAGTGTCAGCTTTCTCATGATAATCTTTGCCTTTTTTTTTTTAATTTTCCAATATGGGGCAAATAGTGAATAACTATCAAAAAGGGTGATATATAAATATATATATATATATATTTTTTTTTCTTTTAGAAGGAGTCTTGCTCTGTCACTCAGACTGGAGTGCACTGGCTTGATCTCGGCTCACTGTAACCTCTGCCTCCCAGGTTTAAGCGATTCTCTTGCCTCAGCCTCCCGAGTAGCTGGGACTACAGGCATGCACCACCACACCCAGCTAATTTTTGTATTTTTAGTAGAGAATGAGTTTCCCCATATTGGCCAGGCTGGTCTCAAATTCCTGACCTCATGATCTGCCTACCTTGGCCTCCCAAAGTGCTGGGATTACAGGAATGAGCCACTATGCCTGGCCAAAGGGTGGTATTTTCATCACCCCTTCTAGGGAGAGTCCTTCGACTCTGTTTTTCCTTTCTCATTAATTTTTTTTCTTAATTACTCCAATGTTTTATGTCCTATGAGAGAGGGACAGAAAATTTGATAAGGCCTCTCAAACAGTTGCATGATTCTGTGGGAGGGGTACCCATGTAAAAACAGGCTCCCTTAATCTCCAGATTTACCATGACCTGGGTAATAGGCATATTCAGTGGGAGAATGTCTTGGTCATCAGAAAGCCAGTCCCACATATCTCACATATGAAGTATATTAAGTGCTTCATCTAGGGTGCTCCACTTGGTATTTTAGAGGGCAGTCAGGCAAGGAAAACAGATCTTACAGTGGCCACTAGGCTGGCTGTTCTCTCAGGAATAACCTTCTGTACTTTTGGATCATACGTACTTATCAGTGATTTTTTTTTTATTTTGAGACGGAGTTTTGCTCTTGTTGCCCAGACTGGAGTGCAATGGTGCAATCTCAGCTCATCACAATCTCCGCCTCCCGGGTTCAAGCAATTCTCCTGCCTCAGCCTCCCAAGCAGCTGGGATTACAGGCATGCACCAGCACGCCCAGCTAATTTTGTATTTTTTGTAGAGACAGGGTTTCTCCATGTTGGTCAGACTGGTCTTGAACTCCCGACCTCAGGTGATCTGCCCACCTCAGCCTCCCAAAGTGCCAGGACTACAGGCATGAGCCACCATGCCCAGCCTATCAGCGATTGTTTAATAGTGAGCTGTGGGTCTTACATCAACCCAAACAAGCTCTTTCCTTCTGTAGGATTTAAAATTAAGGATTTGTCCTAAAAGCAGTTATATAATATTTTTGCTATACATTATAATAAAAGTTTCTCAAGAAGCTGATGACACCAACCTACAAAATGGAACAATTCCTTTACATTATAACCTATGGTTTAACAGTTACTTGGTTTTGCCCTTCCCTCACATTGACTATCTTCTCTGTAACCACAGGTCTTAGAGGTAACTTTTATAGCCCTGCCTTAATTTTTTTTCTTTTATCCATTTAGTTTTATCTCTGTAATTTTTCTTTTATCTTAAAGTGACTCTTAAATGGTTTCCCGACTAGAAAACAATTATATTTTCTTTAGCAAGAGCCACATCCTTGTGTGTGTGTGTGTGTGTGTGTGTGTGTGTGTGTGTGTGTGTGTATGTGTGTGTTTTGTTTTTTGAGACAGAGTCTCACTATGTCACCCAGGCTGGAGTGCAGTGGCTCGATCTCAGCTCACTGCAACCTCTACCTCACGGGTTCAAGAGATTCTCCAGCCCCAGTCTCCCAAGTAGCTGGGACTACATGTAGCATGCCACCATGCTAATTTTTATATTTTTGGTAGAGATGGGGTTTCACCATGTTGGCCAGAATGGTCTCTATCTCTTGACCTCGTGATCCGCCCACTTTGGCCTCCCAAAGGATTACAGACACAAGCCACTGCACCCAGCCCACCCTTGTGTTTTATAAACTTCACCAAAAACACCTTTTATAGTCCTATATTAAACTTTCAGTAACCCAAACTCCCAGTGGAAAAAAAACAAAAACAAAAAAACCTAAGTTTACTTAATTTAACATAACATGACTAAGATTATAAATGACCGCAGAGAATTTTGAGATTAAATTTACCAAATTAATCTTACAAAAGATTACAAAGTCATAAATTGAAGGGGATCTGAGCTAGTTTCTATCAGTCTGATAAGCTGTTAGTTTTCTTTAAGTCAAATGGTTAGAACTCTTTCATACAGTTTAGTTTAATAGTGAACTATCACTTCCTCATGACACATGTAAACATACAGATATA